GAGAGGTGAGTGGGGAGAGCCTTTCCCGCAGGGGCCTTTTAGGGGTTGACCTGGCCAGGGGGTCATGATGGGAGTGGTAGGCACCCTAGTGGACATTTTGACCATTTGTGAGGGTTTTCTTTTTCTCCTCTGGGGCAGTAGGCCCTGAGCAGTCGCATATCAAAATCATGTAATTTTATTATAAAGTACATTCCTTTTATTCATCCTTTATGTTGGGGCATGATATTGATTTATTTGCAATTATATGTGTAAATAGATTATATGGACTCCATTTCAGGATAGCGAAGACATGTTACAAATATTTGTGTTGAAGGGGCTTTGAGTCCCGTAGAACATGGGACCCCAACCTCCAGGCCACGGACCAGTAGCAGTCCCTGGTGCCAAAAAAGTTGGGAACTGCTGCTGTAGAGCCAAGAACCACTGGTCCAGCCTCACCCGTATTTCATCTGAAAGGCAGCTGAGATTGCATAGCTCGGCCACCCAGGGTGCAAATCCCACAGTAACTGCCTCTGTGTTCCTCCTATTTTTCTCATGTGAACATTACATTTCTGCCTTGGCCATCTTCCACAGCGAGTGGTGAGAGAAGGTGGAAAAGTGCTCTGTAAAAACAGTTGTGCAGAGGTCATCTTATTTTTACCGTGGTCATAATATAGCAACTCTGCTGGAGCCTGCTCATTGCTTTCCCCCATGCCTGTGTGGGAGAGGAAAAAACTTTCCTCTACCCTTCTGAGTTCTTTCAGCTGCTCTAATAAGTAAACCTACATAAGGCACATTAACAAGAGAAAAGAACCAAATTTAACTACATATGTACATGCGGGGACCCCACAAACATGAGAGAGTTAGAGACAAAGTTAAAATGAGGTATATTAAAAAATCATAAAGAAAAAAATTGACAAATTCTGCTAATAGCTTCTGTTAGTTTTTTAAAAATCAGTAATCAAACTTATAAGGCAAACAGCAAACTAAGGAAAACATTTGCATTATATATAACAAGAGGCAGAGTGTGGCCCAGTTGGCAAGAGCTTGGTTAGGTCTAGTCTTGAGACCTGCTCTGCTCAAAGCACTGGCTGTGTGCTTTGAGTGTGTTACTCAGTTTCTCCCAGCGTCAGTTTTCTTGGCTTTAAAATGAAAATAATCAAACATGTATTAGTCGGTTATTATGAGGAGGAAATGCGGTAATGTGTGTAAAGCCCCTGTCATATGGTCTTCAAACAAGGCTGGCTGCTCTTGTCACTGTCACCATCATCATCATCAGTCATCTACAGCTCTTTCAATTTAATAAGAATGAGACAAATGTCCCAGGACAGTAAAAGTCTTGATATAATTGGTAGTTCATATGGCCAATAAACAAATGAAAAATAGTTCATCCTCACTAATAGAGAACACAAGTTAAACCGTAGTGAGATGCCATTCTTACCAAATTGTCAAGTGTCCCCACTGGGGACAAGTACTGGCCAAATTCTCCACTGGAGAGAAAATTGATACAACTTTCTGAAAGGCACTGGGCAATATGTATGAAAAGCCCTTTGACCCAGAAATGTGTCATAAGGGAAAAAATTAAAGTTGCACACAGGATTTATAAGCAGGAAACTTTCTCAGAATGTTACTTTATAATAGCAAAAAATTACAAACAACTTAAATTTCTTTAAACTGGCTACATAAATTATGGTGCATCCCCAGAATGGAATACCATGGCCACCATTCTCAATCCTGTTCTCAGATAAGGAGGTGGGAAGTTGCTCAGATGTATGAAGTAGGAAAAAAGCAAGAAAGAAAACCACATGTAAAGGACAAACCTGTTTTATGTATCATAAGAATAAAGACGTTGCTTAATGATATCCAGGAAAAGTAGATTGGAAGGAAATAAATTAAAACGTTAATAGCATTTTCCCTGATGTTGGGATTGTGAATAGTTTTAATTTTCTAATATTTATTTTTCTGGATTTTCCAAATTTTCTACAATTCAATGTATGATACTTTGGAGATCATTAAAACAATTAACAAATGTTATTTTGAAGAGAAAAAAAACCCATGACCCTATTCATGGGTAAGTACCATGATTTGGGGCCGGTGCTTTGGAATTGGCTCCTGAGGGTCCCGCTTAATCCAGCTGCCTGGCTTTTGTCCCCTACAGTGACCGATTAGCGCTGCTCCAGGTCCGAAGCATCCTCCAGCAGCTGGGCCTGAATAGCACCTGCGATGACAGTATCCTCGTCAAGACCGTGTGTGGGGTGGTGTCCAAGAGGGCCGCGCAGCTGTGTGGCGCAGGCATGGCTGCCGTGGTGGACAAGATCCGAGAGAACAGAGGGCTGGACCGTCTCAATGTGACTGTGGGGGTGGATGGAACACTCTACAAGCTTCATCCACAGTGAGTAGGGCTTCCAGTTGGGATAGGTAGAGCTTCCTGGGCTGGCAAGTTCCCTGGATGGAAATGGGACATCAGGATGTGTTTCCTACCAGGAAAATGTCTCACCGGGACACAGCCAACCTGAAGGCCATGCGGTCAGGGGCTGGTCTGGGATGAGGTAATGAGCTGCTCTGAAGTTTAACTGGGATCCTTGGGGAGGCACAGAAGTGGCTCCACTTGGTCAGCTCACACCAATGGCATAGCATGTCCCTCTCCCCGATCTTCTTGGGCCCCATGTAGGTCAGTCAGAGTCCAGGTGGGAAGCAGGAAAGGAGGTTAAGATGGGCTTGGGCTTACCCATCAGCCTGCTTAGCTGCAGCCTGGCCAGGAGGCTATGTTTGGTAAGAGAGGGAGTGAAGGAAAGGGGGAGGAGGGCTCATTGTCTTGTTCACCTGCTAAATCAGAGCTTGTCAAGAGACATGGCAGGCAGGAGCAGTTTTGGCCTGGGCTGGTAGCAGAGAGAGGAGTGAGGAGTGACCTCCTTTTGGTCAAGTGTCCAACATCCCATGCTGGGGCGGCTATGTGGCCCCATCTTCTCTTTGATCCACTGCATGTTCCAAAGCTCAGCTCTTATGAATGGAGGGACCTTATTATTTATTTTCCAAAATCCGGGGTGAAGAGAGTGCTATTAATAATTACACTGGGACCATCCCAGGTAAACCAGGCCATAATGTCACCCTACCTAAAAGCTACCTCACCCAACGCAGCATAGGCATTACCTGCTTACCTCATGGCCATGGCTTAGGATGAACCCATCTGTCTTGCTCCATCCCCACCTCTGTCTCTCCACCCTAATAGTTGTCTTCTTCCTCATCTGAGGCAACACACAGGCGTGGTTTAGAGCTAGGTTTTGGAGCCATACACGCTTGGATCGAATTCTGGCACCAGCATCTAGAAGCTGTGCTCAGCTGCTTAATCTGCCAAATTTTAGCTTCCTCACAGGATAATATCCACTGGCAGGACTGGAAAGCATAAAGTGCGGGGCACTTGGTCATATTCAACAAAGGTGGTCCACATTGCCTTTAAGAGTCCTATTTCCCCAAGCATCCTTGGCCTGGCCCTGTCTCATTTTCAGCACAAAATGCAAAAACCTAGAGTCACCTCTCACTTAGAGATTATCTTTTACTGGAGGGCCTTCTGCTCTTGGCTTCAGGTGCTATAGATGGTGATGGGCTGGGGGTCTCAGTGGGCTGCAGTTGCAGATACATGATGTTCATGTCATGTAATCTGCTGAACTGTCTCAGTGCTGGGCCGGCCTGGGCCCACCTCAGTGGTCCACACCCAGGCCCTCACACCCTTGGTTTGCAATCCCCTAGGAGCCCCAGGCTTTGAGGATGGCTGTGTCTGAATGAGTTTTTCATGCCCTGGCCCTTATAAGTTGTACAGAGTAATTTGCTTCTAGATTCTCGGCTGAAAATTATGATAATAGGACTGGCTTTAAATCCACTTTCCTCCCCACCTTTCTAGCCCCCTCACAACTCATTCGCCCTCCTTATGTTATGTTATGAGTCCTTCAGCGTTTTCAGGTCGGTCCGGCATCTCTTCTCATCTTCCCCTGCCTACCCTTCTCTTTTCTTGTCTTTTTTTAGCTTCTCCAGAATCATGCACCAAACCGTGAAGGAACTGTCACCAAAATGTAATGTGTCCTTCCTCCTGTCGGAAGATGGTAGTGGCAAGGGGGCTGCCCTCATCACGGCAGTGGGCGTTCGGCTCCGAGAAGGAATGAGCAGCTAAGAGCCCCGGACCCCCCGCCTGCTGCCCTTCCAGCACTAATTTCTCTTTTCAAGCGGCGACTCCCCCCTCCCCCTTTCTCCCATTCTTCCAGCGAGCTGTGCTGGGAGACACAGGCACCAGAGCCTGCCACTGCCACAGCAGGGAGGAAAACAACAGCCAACTAATGGCACATAACGTAGGATACAAAATAGAGTGTGTGCTGTTGATAATATCTCTCACCTCCAGACCCCTCCGCACCTGCCCTGCCACCCTGCATGATTTGATTTCAACCTCGCCCTACATTCCTCACGTGTGAAGTTTAGTGGCATCCATTTCTAATTTATGCATTCGTCCAACAGTTATTTATTGGCCTGAGATGAAAAGTCACACCATCCAACAGGCCTTACGGGCCTCCGCAGCCCATCCTTGGGGACATATACCCTGTGTGAAATGTATTATCACCAGCAGACACTGCCGGGGCTCCTCCCAGGGGTGCGTTCGCCGCTTCCTCCCGTCCCAGTACCCACTGCTGTCTGGCATCCTGTGGTTCCCGTCTGGGCGTGTCAGTGCCACTGGATTGTGTGTCTGTGGACCTGGTCATAGCCACATTGTGACTGTCTTGGCATTCTGTCTGTCTTGGGGGGGAGGTGGGCAGTCCTGGCAAAGTGTCTTGTCTCTCCATTCGTGTAAAAGGAACCAACCAATAAGCAGTGCCCTCATTGGAATTTCCCATCGCTTCTGTGAGCCATGTCGTATGACCTAGTAAACTTTGTACCAATTCAAAAACCCGAGTGATGCTTAATGGTTGGGGGAGGCAGGGTGGGAGGACATCTGTGGATGCGACGAAAACCAAACCCCGGGAATTTTTGTGGCCCCTTGAGTCAGGGGAGAGTTGAAGTGAAGATTGTGTTCTTCAGCCCCACAGCTTTCCTTGGGCATGTGAGGACTTCTGTACTCTCCCTGTGGAGTGTCACAGAAGTAGCCTCTCCCCTTGTCTTCCAGCGCCTGCCTGTGGGTTCCCTGCTCCAGCCCCAGGGTCCTACCTGAGGAGAGGCTTCTGCAGCCCTCACCCACCTCAGCACCTTTAAAGTAAAAGGATGTCTTCTGTCCTCCAACAGCCTGGCCTCCTCACTTGTAGTTGGAACAAAGCAAAAATCAACTTGGCTTCCAGGGACTGTTTGGGTTTAATGAGAGGACACTGCAACATTGGCCTCCCCCTGCCATCCCCAAGCAGATCCTGCCCTTCATCACCCTGTCAGCTCCAAGACAATGGATGAAATAGAGTCCCTGCCCTAACACAGAGTCTTGCAGCAGCCCAGGGAAGCATGATTGTTGCACTCTCTTTCTCCCCCATCTTAAATTAACCCCTTCTATAGGAAGCTGGCCCTCATCCGACCCTTGCATCCCTACCCCACTTCAATCTCGAGGTTGCTGTTACACCATTTTGGATTCTTCCCCTAGCCTATCGGTAGATCTTACGTCAGTCCACATTATGGTCCCTTGTGATTGAGGTGCCATGTAAGTCTCCCAAGCTGTGACTGCAGCTCTAAGACTTCCCCCGGGACTGACTGCATGCTCACTCGGTTTGGTGAGACCAGAGTCCCTTTATTTGGCACTGCCGGTGCCTTTGGCACAGTGATCTTTGTGGAGAACACAGATAACATAAACTCTCTCGATGTGCATTTACAGTGTTACATGGTTCTGATGGGAACCTGGGGCATGAAGGGTGAGGCAGCAGGCAGCGAGAGGTGTGCCCTTAGGGTGGCCTGGGCCAGGCCTGGAGCTTCCTGGGAGCCAGGACAGTTGGTATTCTCTGCCTGCCACCTTCTTGCTGTGGAAGTGAGGATGAGCACCGTGTTGCTGATGTGCAGGAAGCATTTGTGTAAAATGGCTGGCATGGTAGTAATAAAAATCATGGCTGCTGTTTATCGAGCGCTTACTCTGCTCGGCCTGGTGGTTTATAGGCATCACTTTGGTCATTCTCACAGCATCCCTGTGAGGTAGTTTTGCCATTGTGAGGAAGAGGCTGAGGGTCAGAGTAACTTGTCTGAGGCAACAGAGCTGAGGCTTCCTTTGACTTTCTCTCTCTCTCTCTTTTTTTTCCCCCCAATTTTTTAATCCCTTTGACTCTTAACCACTGTCTACACCAGCCTGGATCTGTGTTCTTAGATACCAAGTCAGAGAAGCCCCAGATTGACCCAGGCCAGGTAGTGGGCTTTGCAAAATAAGAAGCTTCTTCCCTTGTGTCTTTAACCTGCTAACGAATCAGTGTCATTATTGGGTTGCTGCCCACAGCTGTGTTTTGTTGGGTTTACCCAACATTTATAAAAATGTGAGCCAAATTTAGCAAGTCTAGAAGTCTCACGAATTTGGATTGCTGGTTTCCCTTGAAAGATTTAGAATATCTGCCAACAGTGGGCTCTGATTACCACATGGCAGCATTTGTCCAGAGCTGATCAGCTGCTGTCCCCTTTGGATGCCTATGTGCTCCAGTTTGCCACAGTCCCCACCATTCCTTGTTACCCCAACACTGGAAGCCAGCTGCCTTTTATCATCACATTTGCAGATTTTCTTTTATATTGGATCCAATGTACTCATTATGTTGTATGCCCCAGGAAGGCGTCTGAGCTTGCAACTCCTGGATTAGGTCGGTGTTAGCTCACAGTGTTTTCTTTGACTCTTATTGGATCCCCTGAAGCACTGTCCTGAGAGGGAAGGCTGGGTCCTGTTAGAGTCAGCATCCACATTCCTGGCCCCATCTTGTTCTTCCATTGATGTATTGAAGGATGAAGCATGGGCCAAACTTTCAGATCTGGTCCTCTCAACTGGCTACTTCTCAGAAGGTGCTGAGCCTCACCCTGCAGCAGACATAAGGCTTCAGGGTTCAGTAGGCACCCCATCTTGGGGGCCTCCAGCCTGCCCGTTAGTAGCCTCGGAGGGGGCCACATCCCCATTCATGAATAAAGTCTCTTTAGTGTGACACCTGTTAACTCTTCTGGAGAGGGATGGATTATGAGTCAGCTCAATCATATCCTCCTCAGTTGGTGTGACCCACGGACAGCAACGGAAAGCAATCCGGAATCCAGAGCGAAACCTGGGGGATGGAGGGTCACCTTGAGCAGGGGGCGAGAGGGACAGTATTACAGGAGCTATTGTGTGGCTACCCCCACCTCCAGGAGCCTATCTTCCCGTCAGAGGAAAGTCACCGCCTCAATCCTAAGAGCCTGCCATTGCCTCAGGGGCCCTGGAGAGACACAGTCTTTAGTGAATTTGATTTTTGGAAACAGCCAGAAGTAATCTGGAGCAAGGTGGGTGATTAAGCTGAATTAGACTGTTATTAAAAACACAAAAAGAAATGAAGTACAATTTTATAGAAACAACAGATTTTCTTGTTTGACTTGTTAATTGGCTTCTACAGAAATATTCAAAGAGGAGCCTTAAAAAATCGGGGCTTTGGCAATGTTGGTGGAATAAGAATGCTCTCCCGAGGGGACTGCTTTAGAAGAAAATATACACGTGGAACTACTAAGTTTTGGAACGTTTGCTTAAAAAATAAACAACTCTCCCATGGCAGCACTGAGATATAATTAGAGATAAGAGGAAGCAGACAGGGAGTGGAGGAAATGGGCTGGCAGGGAGCATACACTGGCCTGTCAGAGAGGGGCAGAAATAAATGTGACAGCCAGGAGAGGGAAAGAACTGTATTGCCTGTTCCCAGGAGCCACAAGCTTCTCTGTTCCAGGAGAGCAGGCCTGACCGTGGTTCCTTGCCTTGTAGCTCTATCAGATTCCACACTGTGGACCAACAAACGCCTTTATTATGGGAGCTTAGTGGCCTCTGCCCTCTCCACCCCCGTTCAGTGTGTCCTAGCCTGAAGTCCTCGTCATCCTCTCTGTCTTCCTCCCTCACAGTCCTCTCCATCGCAGTTCCTGACAACTGACAACTTTGTCTTTGTCTTTCCACTTGTTCAGACCGAGAACCCAGAAGTCATCCTCAACTTCCTTTTGCATGCCACTTCCCTTCTATCAAATTCTGTGGGCCCTACCTTAGCAACATCCAGACTCTGACCACTTCTCGCCCCAACCTAAAACACCATCTCTTGCCTGCATTACTGTAACAGCCTAACCATCTCCCTGCTTCTCCCCTTGCCTCGCTGTGGTCCAGTTCCAGAATGATTCTTTCAAAAGTGAATCAGAGCATGTATTTCCCTGGCTCAGAGCCCCGCAAGGCTCCCTATGTCAGAGTACCAACCCGAGTCTCTTCCTTGACCCCAAGGCCTTTGCCTGGGCTGTTTCCTCTGCCTGGAACTCTTCCCCAAACAGGGCCCACTCAATCCTCAAATCTTTACTCAAAAGACCCCTCAGTAAGGCCTTTCCTGGCCATCCTGTAAAATTGCACCCCCTGTACCCACTACTTCTCCCAGTCCTTCCTGTCCTCCCTCACCCAGCTCTTGTTTTTCCTTTTTTCCATGGGACTTACAACCTAATATACTATGCAATTCATGTACTATATTTGCTTATTGTCTGTCCTCCTCACTAGAATGTCAGCTCCTGGAGGGAGGGAGCATTGTCCTGTTCACTGGTGCCTCTCAAGTGCCTGGAACAGTGCTGGGCACACACAGCCACTTGGTGAACATTTTTTCAATGAAGATTCCTGCCAGGAGCATCAGCCCCACTTTAGAGTTAGTGTCATCAAATATTGAATGATTCAGAAGTTATTTCAGAAAGCTGTAGAGCCCTGGGGTGTTGTTCAGTCTCCCAGAAGCGTGACAGACACTGAGGGCTGGGAGCCCCTTCCTCATGTGCCAGTTCCTGTCACCAAGTTCTCACTACAAGCTGCATGCAAGAGAAAGGTGTATGGGGGATAAGATTATGAGCCTTGGAGAAACATAGGAATGCTGACCCCATTGCTTGCTGGATGAATTTAGAAGAGTCTTCCTTTCTGAGGCTCAGTTTCCTCATCTGTAAAATAGGGATAACCTCTCCCTCCGTCTACTATTAACTTACCTCACAGGAGACAATAGAAGTAAACACTCAAAAAAAATTATGGTTTTCTCACTTCCTTCTGGCCTGCCCCAGGTAGATGGGATGTCTGAACAACAAAGACCCCAACACCATTATGAGCGGCCTGGACATGTGGGCAGAGAGGTGATAAAAAGCACGAACAAAGTGGCCCAGGGCCAACCTCACCCATATCACTCTCTTGTTGAGGCCAGGACTCGGTGTCCACCTCTCATCTCCACTGATCTAGCCCCACCTTCGAGGTTTTCTGAGGCTGAACGGCTGCTCTGCAAGCAGGACTCCTGGGTGCTGGGGTTCCTGCCTGGCCCAGCACCTCCCACCTCTCCAAGTGCCCCAGAACGAATGCCAGCCCCTCCCGGGGACTGTGTTTCCCCAGAGGTACAAGGGTGGGAACTTGACTGTGTCTGAGGAAGGAGATCTTGGCTCCTCCTTCCTTGGTTGTCTCTGCCAAGGTCACTTCCCAGCAGCCCTGAAAGCCCGCCCGCCCCCCACTCCCCTCCCCAGGGCAGGAAATATACTGTGATCTTCCCAGGGAGCAGCCCACTTCCCCTCCAGGCTTGGCCCTGGGTCTCCAACTGAGTGCTTTGTACTACCGGGGTTGGTGCTATTCACGTGGCCCAAGGAAAGTTGTTTCTTCCTCATTTCAGGAAGCTGTTAAAAATGTCAGGACAGAGAAAGTCACTCCCTCCTTTACCTGGTTCCTTCCTTCTTCCACTCTGTCCTTCTGCCTCTCTCTAACTCTCCCCCACCCTCCATCTCTCTTTCTCTTCCTTCTCTCTTCTTGTCCTAGATGTAGCCCCCAGAAGAGAGAGCAGGAGCAGGTAGATGATGTAAACTGTGGCCTGGGTGGTGGGGCAAGGCTCTGGGGAAGAGGTGGGGCACTAGTGAGACTCCTGGAACTCACTAGAGGGAGCATTGTGCTCTGGCTCATTGTGAGGACGGCAACCCCATGTGTGGGTAAGGGACACAAGGGACAGGCTCAGGCTGCACAGGGGAGCCCAGATGGGACCAGATCTTGGGGCCCTGATGGCTGAGAAGAGGAGGCTGGGATGAGGGCTCACCTGCGGTTGAGGCAGCAATAGATGATGGGATTGTACATGGTGGAGCTCATGGCCAGCCAGAAGAGTGCCAGGTATACCTGCTGGATGAACTTGTGACAGTAGATGTCCTCTTGGAAGCTGCCCAGGATGAAGTAGAGATGGTAGGGCAGCCAGCAGACGGCAAACGTCACCACCACCAGCACCATGGTCTTCACGAACTGGTCCAGGAAAGGTTCAGGTGACGACTAAAGCCTGGAAACCCCAAGCCTCAATCCCCCCAGGGTAGGGCAGGGTGCTCCTCTTAGAGCCTGGCAAGCCCTTGACAGGCAGGTCCTGTCTGCCTCTACGGCCTCAGCCTCCAGTAGCATCTGCTGCTCAGACACTCTTGGGTCCTCCAATCTGGGGTTTTTCCTCAGTCTGGTCCCTCTGCCCACATTGCTGTTCTTCCTTTGAAATCCTCATTCCTCAAAGCCCAACTCAGTGGCCACCTCCTCTAAAAGGCATCCTGGATCCCTTCACTCAGGGCAGCGCCTCTCCCTGGAGCGTGGATGAGTGCTTGCTCCTAATCCCATCCTTCCAGGAGCCCGTATGCCAGCGGTGGGTTCCCAGGCCCCCCTCTCCCTGGGATCTGTGTCTGCCACAGCCCTTCTGCCGTAGTGAGTCTCCGACCTGGGACTGTAGCCTCTGCCCAGGGCTCAGCTCCCTGATCTTTCACACCTCATGGTTGTTTGTTGCAGGTGCCCTTGAGCAGGGCCCAGTACCCCCTGAGAGATGGAGGACAAGCCAGACCTGGCAAACAGAGACCAGCTGTCCATGAGGAGGGTCACCCAGATGGTGTTCTATATCCAACTCTCTCCCTGAATAATGCCAAATGAAGATGAGAAGAATGCTAAATGGTAGATGAGAAGTTGAGACTTTGACCTGATACATGATGTGATTAACTCTGCTCACCTAACAGGAAGTGGGTGTGGCAAAGATGAACTTTGGGACAGAGTGGTGGAAGTCTGGATAATAGAAAACGCTGTATCAGGCCCCTTGGGGGCCCTGAATGGCAGGGAGGAGGGGAAACATTGCACTTCTGTTGGAAATTGCAGACGATGTGGCTGAACTACAATTCAGTCTTCATGATCTCTGAGGTCTGCTGTTCTAGCGTTTGAGAATTCCGCCGTTAATCTATCAAGGAACACCCCGTAGCTCTGCTGGATTTATTAAATCCAACATCCTAATTACTCAAAAAACCTAAGATTTTAAGATTCTATCATTCTTAGATTCTTGGAGATATCTGAAATTCTGTGGGGATTTAGGATTCCCGGATTTTCCTAACACTCTGGGAAGCTCCTTTAACTTTCCATTTGGCAAGTCGGCCTGCGGGGGAAGAACGAATTCAGGCTCTGGCCAGGAATTTGGGACCCCGGCAGCTTACGGGCGGATCCTGTGCTCCGCGGCGCCCCCTTGAGCGGGCCTTGTTTTCCGCCGCGCCCCGCCCGGCCCGGCCCGCCCCGCCCACCTTCTTCTTGGCCTGCAGGTAGTGTGTGTTGGCACCGTGCGCTTGGTACCCGGGGACCGTGCGTCTCCAGAGCGTGAGGCCGATGATGGTGTAAGCGACGAACATCACCATGAGAGGCAGGAAGTAGATGAGGGCGATCACTGCCAGGTGGTACCTGGAGGGAGAGCCGAGGGCCTGGGCAATTGCGGTCAGGGGGCGACTCCCGCATCCGCCAGCGCTCAGTCCCCGGGACCGCGCGGATACCTCTGAGCTGCCCCTGAGTCGCCGCTGGTGGGCCACCCTGGGCCGCCTCCCGAGGGCTTGGTTTTATTTAAAGAAAATAAAGGCAACATTAGCTAGCACATGTGTCCAAAGAGGGCTTTTCCTGCTGCAAAAGGGACACCAGCGTTAGCTCTTCGTTCTTGCAGATGATAGACAAGTATCAAAAAAGGAAATAAATAGGAACGAAAAAGTTAACTAACGCATTTGTTTAAGCATAGGAGGAAGTAAAATTACTTATCCGTCCCCACCACTATTAACAATTCGGGACATTTTCTTCCAGAATCGTATGTGCGTACATGTGTTGCCTGAATTAGAGTTGGAACTGATCCCCAGAGAGCTGGTGCTTGGTACTTTTAAGTTCTTAATGGTCCAGGTCTCAAGAAGAGGCCGTATTAAGGTGGAGAAACACCGCCCCGCAGTGGCCAATCACGAAATATTCTACTGTCCACCCTTCCTTGAGCCAGAAACCGGAGCGCTTCCCTACCCTACACCACCCTGGAGCAGTTAGTCCTTCCGAGAAGGTGGGGTACAAGTTAGGGGCAGAGACTCCAGGTATGGTCTGCCGTCGAAACTTATTAGTCACCAGGGAACAGGCTTACTCGGAATGGCGCCCTCCCCAGCACCGAGGACCACAGCGCCGCCCTCTTCTGGCCGGTGATGAGGAAAGATGGAGTCCAGGTAGGGGAGGGTGTTAAAGAATGGGGGTGGGGTGGGGGCTGTGTTGCCATGGTGACCTGGCAGCCCTCAGCTCAGAACTTGCTTATTCTCATGCTTGGGGCGACTGAGGATTTTTTTTTTTTTTTTTTTTTGACTAAATCGGCCGTCTCCAGGTTTGTTTTCCTTTGTCCCTTATTTAAACTACCCCATACTGGGGCGCGGGTTCTATGACAGGCAGTGCTAAGGGCTTCACGTACGTTTTCTCATGTACGCTCACAACCCTTGAACAAGGTTCTTTTATTAATCACATTTGAGAGAAAAGGAGCCAAAAGGTGAGAGAAGTGACTACGAAGGGTCTTCCATCCAGCAGGGGGCAGGGCAGGCCTTCGCCCTAACTACTGACTCCAAAACCTCAACTGATTCTTTATTCTCTGGTAACCAACTATGGGGGTCCAGAAGCCACGCCTTGAGAGCTAGGCAAATTGAGGCCCAGAAAAAGAAAGGAGTGACCGAGTCATAGAGGCTGGACCAAGCCTGAGTTCTATTCCCGTCCTCGCCATCCTCCCCCTGCCTCTCACCCCCAGCCTGGGATGCTTACTCACCTGAGCAGGAAACAGGCACCAGGCATCCTCCTGAAACATCCCAGACACTATCACCTGCCCTTTCTTTCTGCCTCAATACCCAGATTCTTTGTGGCCTGAGATTTACAGTGCCCTCCCCGAAACACACACCTACACACACATTCCCGAACACGTAAGTGTGTGTACACAGACGTCCTGCATACTTGCACACATACCTACATACACACACACTCACATGTGCACACACAGACATAAGCGGATGCGGGGTGCTTGCACATGTAGCATCACATGCACATGTGCATGCATACATAGTCTCTTTTAAGGATGCACACATCCTGATTTAAACAGCAGAGTCCGGTGGAGTTTGGGCTCTGAAGCACTACTGACTACATTTAACTCCTTGCTTCACCACTTACTACCTCTGTGGCCTTGGGCACATTACTTAGTTTTTTAGTGCCTCAGTTTCCTCATCTGAAAAATGAGAATAGTAATAATGCATACCCCATATTGCTAGGAGAATTAAATAAGTTCATACATGTGAAGTGCTTAGAACATTTAGTAAGTGCTGTTACCTTTGGTATATATGTGGACTCACGTCATCCCAGGTATACTCACAGACACATATGCACAGCCACACGCACACACTACACATATGTATATGTATGTATGTGCAAGCATGCACACAGAGCAGACATGTTCTTGGGTATGTGTGTATACCCCCCGCCCCCACACACACACGTCGTGCTCCCCCCACCCGCCAGGCCTTACAAAAGAAGCATCTTGCCACCGCTGTCTTCGGGCCAGGCCACCATGCACTTGGTGGCTCCTTGGTCCATGATGATGGTAGAGTAGAAGCACTGGGGGAAGGCGAGAGCCAGGGCCACCAGCCAGATGCCAGCAATAACTGCTCTGGTGCCGGGGGCTGAAAGCCGCGGCTGGAAGGGATAGACAATGGCCATGTACCTGTAAGCAGAGGGTGCCCTCCTGTCAAAGCAGCCCCCACCCCTGTTCTCCCTCTACGGGACCACACCCTCTAGCCCCATTTCCCACACTGCTGCTGTGACCTGCAGAGAGCCAGCTGGGCTGGTGACTCTCCCACAGCCACATGGCATACTAGGACCCTAAACTCCAGCCCAGGCCCCCACCACACCGCCTGCCTCTGAGCATAGACGTACTCTCTGATGACCACGAGAGAGCGGAATGGCCACACTGGAAGTCCATCTCTGGACATTTGAAATAACCCTGCCTCCACATGGCATACTAGGACCCTAAACTCCAGCCCATCTCTGGACATTTGAAATAACCCTGCTGAGCCCCTCAGCCCTCAGCCAGTCCCTTTTCTTGTTCAGAAACCTTAGCAGAGCTCGACAGTTTCTTGGACAAAGCCCGGAGCAGTGTTGCCCACCAGCAATCTGCAATGACGGAACACTCCATATATGCACTGTCTTGTTTGGTAGCCACTAACCACACGTGACCAATATGACTGAGGAACTGAAATTTCAATTTTAATTAATTAGAACATAAAAAAAGCACATATGGCTGTGGCTACATTATCAGACAGTGCAGGTTCAAACCTTTAAGTGTGGCATTCAATGCCCTCTGCACATGGCCAGTGCACTTTCCAGCCTCCCGTGTCACTGCTTCCTGCACCTTCCCTAGCTCACTCTGGTCGCAAAACAGCCCTGCGTGTGTGACACTCTATGGGTATAAAATACAGAATTGCAAAGACAATCAGTTCTACTGAAATATAAATAAAATAAGTTTGGGACATAGTAATATAACCAACTTCTTTATCGGCCCACTAAACATGATCTATCGGCAGGTCTGGAAACTACAGTAATTTTGAAGTAGTGACGCTTGTAAGTGATACTTTGATATTTCTGCCCAACAGCAGTGTCTGTGATTTCTACTGGTGACAGTCCCAGGCACTGCTGGAGTCCCAAAGAACGGTGGTGTGCTGCCTACATTCATAATTGTGATTCCCCTCACAAGTTCATGACCCTCATATTTCTGCCCATTCACAGGTTGCGCATGTCTGGACTAGATGATTGTTGACCCTTTCCCTCCCCACCCTGTGACACTGACCTTCTCCCATGACCATGACTGGGCCCTGGGCCAGCTCTACCCCTCAACAGCCTGGATCTGGGCCTAGTGCCTCAGCAGGACAAGAGGAGTGGGCCATTTTCCTCAAGATTCTCGAACACCTTGCACCCCCATAGATGATGCAGGTGACCAGAGGGTCAACTTGGCGACTTAAGTGCCCTTACTGTCCTAGGAGCTGGGGTGGGAAAGGAGAGCTTTTCTTCCTATTCTATTAATAGAGGGGCAGACTCGGAACTTTGGATTCAGAGTAATCTGGATTTGAATCCTGACTATACCACTTTTCAGCTGTAGGAACTTGAACAAGCAACCTAAGTTCTTTGGGTTTCGTTTCCTCCTCCGTGAAGTGAGGCGATAGTAACTTGTGCCATTAGCGTCGTCGTGAAAAGGAAATAAAATGATTTAGAAGTGCCTGCAGGCAGCAGGGGCTCAAGACGTGAGAGCGTGGTTATTCCTATTTATTTATTTTCTTAAATTTACTAAAAATGGCTTTGGTCCTAGCTGACCCCTGGGTCTTCCTCCCTGGGGTTAATCTGAACCTTGGGACAAGGCCAGGACAGCAGGACGTGGTCTCTCATTTTATTTGGCCCTTTCCCTGAGCAGGGAAGTTCACGTCTTGAGGTCTTGGGCATCAAGTGAAGAGCTGCTCTGCGCTGGAGCATTTCCACCCTGTCTCGGTGAAGAGTGGGTGAAGCACATCAGGCATGCTCCTGCCACGAGTCTGGCTGTCGCCGTGCCTTCTGCCTAGAACCTTCTTTCCCCAGAGCCCAGGGGGCTCACTCTCTCACCTGCTTCCTGTCTTTGCTCAAATCTCACCCTCACAATACAGCTGATCCTGACACCCTGTGAAACGCTACAACCTGCCCTTGCCACAAAACACGTACCACAGCACCTTGGATCCCCCTTCCCTTTCTTAGTATTTTCTCATAGCTCCCATGACCTCAAAATACAACATATAATTGATTTATGCAAGTGTTTATTGTTTAGATTCTCACCAGGACAGGCATCTTTATCTGTTTTTCTCTCAATGCCCAGAACACTACCTGCACATAGTAAGCACTGAGCACATGAATGAAGAAATGATGCATGAGTCTCCACTGTGACCACCCTGACCTGAGCTACCATCCTCTCTCACCTGGATTACTAGTCAGCAGCCTCCTGCCTGGTCCCCTGGCTGCCACCCTCCCCTCTGCAGTCCATTCTTCCATCCCCTCCCCCTAGAAAAAAAGAAGTTTTTTTGAGGCCACGATTTCGGGACTATTTGCGTATATTCCCCAGTGCTTGAAACAGAGGAAGCACTCTGTTTGTTGAGTGAAGAAAAAGAAAATCTTAGTGGGACTTTCAGAAACATCTAGGTAATATAAGGAGCTTTTGGTGGTGGTGATGTGTGTGTGTGTGGTGGGGGGGTGGGGGTGGTTCTAGGCACATGCCCCTGCCCCTGACTTGCTGGTTGACCTCATATGATCTTGCCCATCTCTCTAGCCTCAATTTCCCTGGGTGCAAAATTAGAAGGTTAGTCTGGATGAATTATTTTCAAACACTCTTTTCATTTTTAATTAGTAGAAATACATTTCTCAAATGAAATCTTCAGGGAAACTCTACAGTAAATCAGTCACGAGCAGAGACGTCAGCTGCTGTGGGTCAAAGATCGCTGGGGCAGTCGGGTTGGGATGAAGATAGTGGGGAGATGGTCATAGGGGATCTCTCCTCATCAAACCATCCTGACAAGTTTTCGTGTCTCCATGGGTTCCAGGCCCTCACCCCACCTCCCACACACACCTGGTCTCTTTACTGTCCCTTTTCGTGTGTGTGTCTATCTCAGCCACAGCCCCCGCAGGGGTACACCGTCCCCCTGTCCACACAGGGGTACACCGTCCCCCTGTCCACACAAGGCCTTGCCTGCCCCGACTAGCATTAAAAGGACTCCAGAGCTCCCACCAATCACTCTTTCGCCCTCCCTGCCCCCCGTCAACATAAGACACAGTCTGTAGCCCCTGAGAGCAGCATTAGGAAAATGTTGGCCCCTTTGTAATTATATGGTAACTGTGCACGATATTAAATTTTCCCTTCATACAGTCTGTCTAGGAATAGGAAAAACATATAAGCAATTTCCTTGTAGTAAAAGAAAGACACCACAGCAAAGATCAGCTTCAGAAAAGAATATTCCAGTGGGTCCCTAAAGCACTGGCACTCTTCCCCTACCCCCTCGAGCAACCATTTGATGCGAAGTTCTTCCTGTCTCTAACCTTAACCTTACCTGCTTCAGTTCCACAGTCCCCTGCCTTCCAGATGCATAGTTTTGGGTCATGATCGGGCCTGGAGGAAATTCCCTGAGTTCTGTCCTTAACTTGTATGTGACCATGGGCAAGTTACCAGCCCTGCCTGAGCCCCAGCAAAGTGAACCTGCTCCCCCCAGTTTCTCCCTGCCCCCTCTTGCCTGTCGGCGGCGATGGCGGTCATGGAGTAGATGCTGACGAACATGGCTGTGACAGGGAAGAGGTTCTGGAAGTAGCAAAAGGCACGGCCAAAGTACCAGATGTTGTGGCTGGCATAGACAAAGTTGAAGACGGCGTTGAAGGCAGCCATGCAGAGGTCGGCCAGGGCCAGGTTGACGATGAAGTAATTGGTGACCGTGCGCATCCTCCGATGGGCCAGGATGATCCAGATGACCGTGGCGTTGCCTGTCACAGCCACCAGCACAAGGGTCAGATAGGCTGCAGCCCACAGTGCCAGCTGCCAGCTGGGCATGGAGAAGGCCGTGATGCCTGTGGTGGTGTTGCTCCCAAGGTCAGAGGAGATGTTGGCATCAGTCACAATGGCACAGCCCCCCATGGCTGTCTCTGGGTCTTGATCAAGGGGTCTGGCTCCTCAGCTCCTTCTGGGCGCCGGTGCCCTACCCAGATATGCTATAGAAGAGAAATCCTCTGGGACGTGAGTCTGTGAGGGAGAGTCAGTAGTAGGTGCAAAGCCAGGCACGTCAGGGGAGCTGGGGGTCATTCCCAAGTCTCAAGCAGAGATGAGTCAGGCTGAACAGAGTGGGATCCTGAGCCACTGGCATCTCAGATTTCCATGTCCCGGCCAGACTTCTCCAATGCCACGTGGAAATCTAAAATCCAAGACACAGTTTTAGAGCAGGAGACAACCTTGAAAACCTTCAGTCAAACCCCTTCACTGCAGACATGGAAATGCAAAATCTAAGAGGGGATGTGACTGGCCCAGGTCACTCAGTAATTTGGTGACAAGCCTGGATTCAAACCCAGGTTCCTCCTATTACTATTCAGGAAACGCTCTGGATCAGATGAGCATGCAGCAGCAGTCTTTGATTCCACGGGTCAACTGCACAGCCGGGTGTCTCTCCAGGCTTTGGGGTGCAGGCTGGGCTGCCAGCCCTCGGAGCCTCTGCCTTCCCCACTGCTCTCCTATGTGGGGCGGGCGAGGGCCTTGGCAGGGGTGCTGCCTGCTCCCGCCCCTCGTCCCACCCCTGCTTGGATGGCCCAGCCTCATCTCTTGAGGGAAGATTTAGGACTGATTGCCAGGCAGGGAGAGACCCAGGGGAAATAGGGATGGCAGGAGTGGGGGCTGGCATGGTGGGATGTTTACATTCAGCCTGGGCCAGGAGTCGATGAGATACCATAGGAACCTAACTCTTGTTTATATCGATTACCTTATGGTAAAATTGGTTTTGTTACACGTCATTTTGCTTAAAGTCACAGAACCTATTGATGATGTTAAGTGAAGACTTACTGTATTTGTGAGTTTTAAATGAGATAATGTACGTATAGGCTATTTAGCACAGAGGCTGGCCCGCAGGAAGCCTCTCCACCGCCTCCCTGC